CTCCTTGCCACTTCTCACCCTGCGTTGCCCTGGCATCGAGCCCCCTGTGCATGGGGCTGAAGTGAGGTCAGCAGTGTGGGACTCCTCAAAGTAGTGGCAAGCACAGGGGGTGCATCGCTGGGCAGCGGTGGGGCAGCTCACAGCGGCGAGGAATCCCTGCGTGGCCCTGCTGTCCCCAGCTGGGCTGGGTCGCGCTTACTGGGCTCTGGAAGCCCCAGGGCAGGGAAGCAGGATGGGAGCTTGAGCCTGCAGCCTGCACCTGCCCTGGGTACAGTTCCGGGGGGCACAACTCCCTCCTGTCCCCCCTGAAGTGCATGCATCAGTGAGGAGCTGGCCCTCCCCCTCCCCCGAACGAGCCACCTGCAGCCCCATCCTGCTCCTCGCTGAGGCCCTGCAGCTATGCATTGTGGCCCCATCCCCAAGCCCCACCTGGATAGGCAGCAGCCCCCCAGCCCTGCCCAGCTCCCTCCCTACAGAGGCCTCAATCCCCACTTCCCCCACTTACCTCCTGGAGCTGCTCTGCAGGCTGCCTGGGGCCAGTGCATGTCTCTGCACGTAGTGCCCCCTGTCTTTCTGCCTTCCTCCCAACAGCTCTTTACCTGGGTTGGGGCATCAGTACAGGTGCCCCGCTGCCCACTTAACCAAGTAGTTATTGCAATCCATTCCAACTGTTGAAGTGTTTCTACTGCACATGTGCTACTTGGGCGGTAAGGAGATCTCCCCGAAGCGCTTACTGCACACTCAACTTTCTGTTGTGTATATGTAGTGCATGAATATAATCATGATCATGACATTGATCATACTGTTCTGAAACTGGTGGGGCAGTGCCTGAGCACCCCCTATTGACCAGCCGCCACTAGTGCTGCCCTCTTTCAGAGAGATCTCAGCAGTGTCCCCAAAATCCCTACAGCTGCCTCACTTTAAAAATAAGAAGAGCTTCCAAAACCAAAACAAACTACTTAGCTTCGTCCTGGTCCTTGCCTGCCAAGCTCCTTCTCTGAATCTAGTGTGAGCCAGTCGACAGCTCCCTTCCAGGAGTCAGACTTATAGGCTAGAGACAGACATTACACATAAGTTTAAGTGATCAGAAACTGGTTTAAACCTGTAACAGAACAGACGTTCAGTGCACATAAACCAGTTTGAAAATGGCTAAAACTAGTCTGAGATATATCTGGTTGAGTGCAGTATCAGACTTAACTGATTTGGGTCAAACTGGTTTATGTCTGTCCCTTGTCAGGAATTCCCCCCTCCCCTCTGCCTTGATGAGAGCTATCTGTATATTAGCTAAAATACCACATGCTGGCTATGGTCCATGCTGAATCAACAGGTAGAATCAACAAGTAGCTGGTAATATCCCACTGTTGTATTTTTAATGGGATGATATACACTGAGTTTGGGGTGATACACACTGTTATCATTTCCATGCTGGGCTAATCAGAGCATCCTGCTGGACCTGGCCATGCCTCCCCTCAGCTCAGTGCTGAGGAATGGAAGGGATGGCTGCTCTAGCACCCCCTGGCTTCAAGCCTGAGCCACTGCAGACATGTTCTTGCATGTCTGGGTGTCTTTGCAGTTACAAAGTGATTTAGCCTAGCCAGGTTAGACTAACCTGCAAGGATTGAATCAGTTCAGGCTCAGGCTTTTTGAATGTCTGTCCTTAGCCATATTGCCCTTGACTCAACCTCCCTCTGGTCACCTGGTCTCTGATTCTCAGGATTGGGCCTACAGGTTTTCCATTCGCCAATCTTCAGGCTTGCTGCTGTGCAGCCTGCCTCCCCATGAGCAGGTTCACAGCTCTGTAGCCAGCTTCTCTATAAGGTGCCCTTTACACTGTTTTGCAGGTACTTAGCTCTGCTGCTTGGCTGTATGCTCAGTAACAGGGTTGGAGCCTCTGTTACACAGGAAACAGCAACAGGACTCTTTGGAACCCACTGTTCCAGTGGATTATCCTACCTGATTCCTTGGAAATGTACTAACTAAAAAGTGGTTTATGCAAATATCACACAGCATACAATATGATCCCTACTATTATATGAGAAACAAAACAAAACCAAGAAAAAACCTAAGCAGGACAGTACAAAAGAGGAAAGAGGGTATGTAGCAATCCCCAACAATCCATAGGTGGCATGCTCACCCTTAGTGCATTGCCTTTCTGCTGGGTAAAAGGGCTGGTCTTCTGTAAATCCCAGATCTGGCTGGGGGAGGATTCCCCTTGGCACAAGTAGTAGAAAAGGTCAGCATAAAGCTGCCTTGTAAATCTGGCATAGAGAATAGACTGACAGCATTAGGGATGAGATGGGCACATTAAGATGGGGTAGTGCTGTTCAAAGAGCTGCATCAGGATTGTAATGCAACCTTAACATCTCTCTTCCAATTCTAGGCCTGTTTGAATTATGTTGTGGTCTGTAATACACTGTAGAGTCTGAAAAGCATTAAATGTGGCTTAAATTGAACTTTCTATAGTCTCCAAGTTTGGGACTGCACTTAAGACAAACAGAACAAAAGCTCAATTCACATGTCTTTGTCTTACCTCTCTAGGGCAGCAGTTCCCAAACTGTGGGTTGCGACCCCAAATGGGGTCGCAACATCAGCAGATGGAGTCATGGGGGTGGAGGGCTGTGGGTTGGGATTGAGGGGCCATGCTGAGGAAATGGGGCCATGGGGTCATGCTGAGGAAAAGTTTGGGAAGCACTGCTCTAGGGGCATGGTCTTGCAGGAGCAGGAACCAGGCCAGCAGGGGGTAGTCCCTTCAAAACACAGAAATGCAGGCATAAAGAAATGTGGAGGTGAATGCTACCCAGGCCACTGTTTACTTTCTAACCTCTGTCAAGGAGACATCCCTAAATTACAGGTGGCAGTAGGGTAGTTGGTAAGAACACAGCTAATTCGTGGTGAATAGCAGGGGCAGTTATATAAACATGAGTCACATATAGTTGGTGAAAACTTGCTAACCATAGGTGGGAAAACAAGTGCTAACAGGTAGGGTGTTTGTAAGAGAAAAATATAATACAAGTTTTTACAATTAACAGTTACACTCAGCATTTAAGTGAAACAAGAACTCTATTGTAGCCAAAGCTGTAGTTATGATTCATTTCCTTACACAATTTAAAGAGCTGACAAAAGTTAAATGTCTCCTAAAAGTACCTCATCTTAAGGTACGAGACTGATTTTAAGTCTTGAGGTTAAATATATTCTCCAAAAATTTGGTGACCTGAGATTTTTATTGTTGACAACCACTTATATGAAAATATATTTGTCAACCTAAGGCTATAGTGAAAGCCTAATTCAACACTAACTGGATGGATTCCACAGCATGTCTCCATGAATAACTTATTGTCTCTCTCATTTTCAGTCTTTGCCACACAATAGATTTCATGTTTGGACCTTCACAGGCAGAGAGAGAGAGATGAACCATTTGAGAAATCAATTACAACCTTATCTGGACTTTTCTCTTCACAAAAAAGAGAAAACAAGGTTCATGGGGCTTCAGCAAAAACTTTCAGCCAGCTCTACAATGTACTGAAGAAAGAAGTCAGTTTGTCAGGTGGTGTAAATCAGCATCTCGCAGTTCACTTCAGTAGAAGTACACTGATTTCACCAGCAGGTGATCCAGCCCATTATAAGGAGCTGGATTTAGAGATGGGCACCACTAATCAAAGTTAGCTCAAATGGCAAAGTTATCCAGTGTGCAAGTGAGAAGGGGAAGGGTTCAATGCAAGAGCTTCTGTCCTAGGCCCCTATTAATTTAATTCCAGCTCCACCTACAGAAGTAAAATACTATCGAGTTATCATATGAAACAGTAGTGATCTACCTTTTGGCCCTGCAGGTGGGATGAATGACATGGGACTGGCCCACAGGCCAAATCAGGCTCCATGCACCAGAATAGGGCCCTATACCCCTCCCTTGTCCCAAGGCACCTGGATTGGGCCTCGTGTGCCCCCAGCAATCCCGCACAGCCTCTGCCTACCCAGTGAGCTGGAATCAGGCCCCTGCTGCATCCACTAGGCTCTGCATGCCCAAAACAGCAGGCAGGGCCACATTATTCAGACCATAGGGCTCCCCATTTATTCAGAAATTTGGCAGTAGGGACATGGCAATTGCTGCCACCACTCCCCCACTGCCAAATTTCTGGACCTGTGGGGAGCCCTGCGTGCCAGATGGCACAGCTCTGCAGGCCAGATTTGGCCTGTGGGCCTAGGTTTGAGCACTCCTGATATAAAACACTGAATTAAAATTAGACCTACACAATATGCTCTTTATTCATTCCTCCTTGATTTAAACAAGGCTTAAATGTTTCCACATTTAGGATCTGCTCTTGTTTAGCTAAATTGTTTCTCAAACAAATCTACACCTTTCTAACAAAGATGAGATCTGTTTCAAAAATAATTAGGGCAGAGACTACTAAAAAGATGTCATGCGTGTCCTGGGAGAAACCATTTTCTGCTGGGACAAAGCGTGATCATTCAGACATCCATGTCTGTTGTCCGGGGACAAACCTTAAAAAGGTTCATGGGTTAAGTAATCCTCCATCAGTGGATCAATGGCATAAAAGTGGCAGTGAATTCAGCTACTCAGTACACATGAATCCCAGGACTTTTCTGTTTTGGGACAAACATAGGCACAACTTGTTCCAGGACAAATGCAATATCTGTTCCTAGCCTATGTGAAATCCTAGCTGCATTGAAATCAATGACAAGGCTCCAATTGAATTCAGTGAGGCCAGGCTTTCAGCTTTATCTTAATATGTAACAAACTCTGCACATTTTTCCACTATAACCCCAAAATGACAAAGCACTTCAGGCCCATTGAAGTTGATTGGACTATGTGATTGCTTAAAGTTAAGCATGTATTTAACCAAATCATTGTACTGGTAATAACAAATTATATGTTCGTACATTAACTATCTAGGTTTAACTACTTTGACTATGACTTTTTCAAATACTTAGCAAGACTTATTCTTACTTAAAGTAGTAGTATTAACAAAGAAGTAAATTATTACCTGAAGTGTAAGGTAATCAGCTACAATTTGGATAGGATGGTATGAATCAGACAAGCCATTGATTATTGGGATTGAGGCTTCTTTTGCCAACAGGTCCAGATCAGATTGTTTATAAACTCGGGCCAGGATTGCATCTGTCATGCCAGACAACACCCTAGAGCACAGCAAAAAATATTGGAATGAACATAATAAATACATCCCTCCTGTATTCTTCAGTGCATGAATATTAATAAGTAGTGGCAGTGAATCATATTTTTCCAGATTCCTGAATAATTCATAAAGGCTGCAAAATACACTTAAATTCAGACATTTAACAAGTAAAAAGAAACTACTGCTGAATGCCTATCCCTATTCTGGGATTTTTCCATTTGGTTTTTGATTGTCACTACAAAAGAACTAATGATGTCATATTAATAAACATGCAGGTAATTGAGCTAAGATAAGCAATTGCTTGACAAGATAAAACTGCAAGAATTCAGTAACTTGAAAAGAGATAAGGTGTAATATTTCCTCTTAGCCTTTTAGCAAAGAACAAATGTGGCATTGGCAGAATCTGATAGTGTCTCTGTGCAGTAGGATGACCTTTCCAAGGATTAGGACTCAGCAATCCAACAGGACTTTTCTATCTTAAATTACCACAATCCTTTACTGACCTTAATGTTCATGGAAGCCAGAGACCAACAGCACCATCCTAAAGTGTATCATGGATAGGTGATAATATATTGACACAAACAATAACAGCATTAAAGTATTATCAAGATTCTAAATTAAAGTACACAGATACAGATACTTCACATTCATACTGATGTTCTGGGCTTAGCTCTCTGTGCTGCTCCTAGGCACGAGGTGTTCAGAGATAAATCCGATGGGAGCGTACAGCATATTCTGTATATTCTGAAATTTTTAGACACATTAAGTATAGAATAGGAGGTTTACTCCTCCAACTGTTTGCTTTGTGAAACTAATCAGGCTTTTAAGCAGTACTTTGACATTGTATTTTCTACATTTTAATGTTTCTTTGGGTTCCTCTAAACATGCAAGTAAAGACATGATAGGAGCTGATGCACAATCCACACAACCACACCTCCTGCCCTGCACATGCAAGGCAGGAGGTATGATTGTGGGATTCAGAATCGGATCCAATCACATCTTATTGCCAGTGCAGGGCAATATTGCTTTATTGCCATCCCAGGCTCCCCCTGCACTGAAAAGTAGCAAGCTCCCACAACTGTGAGTTCTACCAGCTCCCAGGACTCTCAGTAGTGGCAGCACCCCTCAGCTGCCACTACTGAGATTTCCATCAGCTAAAGGAACTCCCAGCTGCAGTAGTACACGGCACACTGCTGTCCTATCAGCTGACAAGGCTCCCAGCCACCAGGGTGTAGCTAGTTTGCTACATGTGCAAATTAAAGGTGGAAAGAAATCAGCTATAAAGTTATTACACATTTTCCAGCTCTAACTTTATAGTTTTCTTTGGTGTAATAGTTATTTTGCATGTGTAGCATTTAAATTAATTGCACAATTAACCAAGTATGCAATTAAGTAATATATGTAACATGAAGAGGGGGCCTCCAAAACAAAAAAAGGCAAAAATCTGAATAGAAGTGTGACAGATTCTTACAACTGATGGATTGCTGACTTGCTGTAACAGATTTGGACATTTCCTATGAAACACAGTGGCTAATGTCAAAGTCCTTATGCAAGCAAGCCTCCCACTGATGCTAAATAAAAGAACTACTGTTCTAACTGAAGTCAGATTAAACTGCTATTGAGGTATACAATCCCTTCCTGAAGTGCCGCAGGTAGAGAGGAATTGAACAAAGTATTTGCTGATCTGTAAAGCATAAAAATGGCTACTGTCTGTGCCATTACTTAATTTTTCTGGCTAACATTTTCTGAGTGTGTTACTTTTATATAACCTGTCCTGGCATAAGAGACTAGGGACAATTTTTTATCCAAACTGATCACCTTATGATAAATAGGGAGCTGAAATAAGTTGTAAACCTTCTAGTGGAAAGTACCTGGAGGAATTTAGTCACAATGTGATAGATTTTCTTGCTTAACCAATCAAAAAGTAGCAGTATGTAGTTACTGCAGCATGTAGTGGTAGCTGCTACCTTTAGTGAATGTGGGCCACATGCATATATCGCCTCTGTCACTCATGACAGAGAATCATAGAAAAACTGAGCTGGAAAGGACCTCATGAGGTCATCTAGTCCAATCCTCTGGTCAAAGTTCAATCATCCCTTGTTAAACCATCAGACAAATGTTTGTGTAACCTGCACTTAAAAACCTCTGGTCATAGAAATTCCACAACCTTCTTAGGTAATCTGTGCTAGTGCTTAACTGGCTGGCCTCATAATTAGAATGGTCTTTTTTATGTCTAACCAAAATCTCCCTTGTTGCAATTTATGCCTATTACTTCTTGTCCTATACACTGGCAGGATAAGGGAATTGAAAAGTGGAAATATTTTTCAGTGGTTTGTGGGATCAGAAAATAATAAAGGCTAACCTGTCACCAGTTTTTCTGCATGCCATCTATTTACAAGAGTAGGAAGTGCAGGTGAGAACTGAAGTTGTCATGTGAAAAGCCAGACCACACTGAAGGCCCCTAGGACCTTGCCTGAGTGGCAACTAGCATTGCCAGCTACCGAGTCCAAGTGGAACCATTTTAAAAGAAAAAGTACAAGCCTGGGTTTGCCCAGGAGCAGGAGCTGAATTCATTAGTGTTGCTCGAAGTAAAGCTGGAGCTTCTGAAGATATAGAGGAATTAGGCCCAGGGCTCACTGAGAACCCTGTATTTGCAGAAATTTTCAAGATTTCTTTGTTGATATTAACAGAGAGTTGTAGACACTCATAATTTCATTATGAGAAATGAGTTGTTTTAGCATTTATTTTTTAAAGCACAATGTCTTGGAACCATCAATACACTTTTATCTTTTGTTAAAAAAGGAAGTTTCAACCCTCAACCTATAGAGAAATTTAAACGTTAAAATATCAGCTGCATGCACCTTAAAGGCTCAAAACCCAAACCAAGATCCAAAGAAACACAAATTACATTTTATATCCCATGATATTTTAACTAGTATCTCAGAGACTTGTACATCTCATGATTTTTGAATGTTGGGAGTTGACAATAGTGCTAGCTCATGTTTAATAAAGCTCCCCAAGGACCAAGTAAATTGGCAAGTGCTTCTATCCAAAATGTGTAACTCTATTACTTCCTACGTATGTTTATTGAAAAGATGGTTTCATCTTTTAAATTACGGTCTAGTTGTCAGTGATGTCCTTCAAGTGGCTTCAGATGAATGCTCTGTGTAACTAATGAATAGGTCAAAGGTGCAAATCAACCCCTTAAAAATGCAGGAATTTCCTCTCTAATAATCTCAACAGACAGTCAAATATGATCTTTGACTGCTTCAGTGAATGTGCTGCAGCTCAGCCTTTATGCTATAGTGTTGTATAGTGGCCTTCTACCAATTTCACAATAAAACTATGGAGTACCAGGTACATGTATCCATGGCAGTGTTTCATTTTGCCTGATGTATTTGCAGCATTAAAAGGGTGAAAAAAGCCTTTAATGAGCTACAATTCTTTAATAGTGTTAGGGTAAATATATGTCTTTAAGAAAAATTAATGAGCACCACTGAGCTGTGTTAGGACCAAGGTACAAGTCACTAAACTATGCTCTCAGTGGAAACACTGAAAATCCTGACCCACAACAGGTCTGTATTTCAATTAGAACTAAATCTTGGGACTTTCTATAGCTCTGTATTTCCTTCACTTTAAGCACCACTCTCAAGTATTCAGACTTTTAATGCCACAAATATAAAGCTGTAATTACCTGTAATACCCTCCAGACTTATCGAGACTCCAGTATTCTTTTTTATTGTTTGTTTATTATCATGTTATTAAAATAGTCTGGTAGACAGACACTTTCCTGTGTACTAGCAAAATAATATCTATTGTTCATTCACAAGCAATTCAAGGAGGACATTTGAAATACTTGTTCCTTATGTAACTTCTCAGTGCTGTTCCTGTAGAAGTCTATATGAACTCTGGCATTGACTTCAGCCAGGGCAGGAGTAGGTCCATTATGTGCATCAGCATTTCTACTGTGCAAAAAAGCTAGTTCATCAAGTCAACAAGAGACAGACAGCTTCTGACGTACATAAGAATTTGCATTTAATCTTGTGTGGTAAGGCATGGGGGCCTACGTAGGGACAAACTTCTTGGTAATTTTTTCTCTGTCCTCTCCCCAACCCCTCCCAAACCAACCACCAACAGCAAAAACTATACCTCTCTTCTTCCCTGCTACATCACCCTCTTCTGATTTTCTCATCTTGGCCAAGTTCATCATCTTCCCAGTCACACTGGTTGCAACATGAAGTAAACTAGGACTTCTCTCCACTTACATCTTTCTCAGTTTCTTGTTATCCTTCGTACCCCTACACTGAGGCCCATCAATTCATACAGTAAAAACCCCTGTTAAGCTTTCTAGCGCAGGCTATCACTAACTCTCTTTTCTGGCATCATGGACTTCCACCTCACCCTTAATCTATCCAAAATACAGCTAAGAATCCCTTTGCTCTGACAATGTTCAGTGCTTCTTCAAATCCCTTACCCTTTATCAAACTCTTGGTCCTTGTATTCTGACTCTGACAGTATTTCTCCTAAATGGGTGCATCTACACATGCAATTAATGCCATATGGGTTTACTCTGCAGTAATTTACTGCAGAGTGAACCCACCCTGGGCAGGCATCTACATTTACGGCCATCTGGGAGCAGATTTGCTCCTTATGGCAGTCACCTGTTCCTGGCCTCCGCCAGCCCTGCACCACCCCCCTGAAGAAACCAGGGAGAGCTGGAGGCTTCAGCCACAGCTGTCTGGGGCAGGAGCCCTCTTTAAAAGCCAGCCCTCTGTGCTGCTCCCTGGCCACCTGCATTTCTGGCCTGGAGCAGGCTGCAGCAGGCTGGCATAGCCCTTTGCAATTCTGTCACCAGAACCCATGCCCACTGTCTGATGGCTGCTCCACCCCCACTTCCCAGAGCAACAGGCCATGTCCCGGGCTCCTGCTTGCTACCCTACTCACCGCACTCACTCACTTTGCCTCTGTAGTGACTGCCGCCTGGCCCAGGTCAGCCTCAGCCCT